AAAAGTTACTAAACTGTGCCTACCCTTTGAATTCATATTACTACTAAGCCTATACCACAAATGATCAAATAAAGAAGAAAAAGTCCTATATGTACAAAAATATTTATCATAGTTCTGTTCGTGGTGGCAAAAAAAAAAAAGGAAATTAAATGGATGCTGATCAATTGGGAAAGGGCTGAACAAAGTATGGTGTAAAAATGTAATAAAATAATACTGTTCTGTATGAACTGAAGAATGAGATGGTTTCATAGAAACCTGAGAAGACACTTGAGTAAAGTGAGCAAACCAGGAAAATAATTTATTTCTATAACATCACTATTGTAAAAATAGCAATTCTGAAAGATTTAAGAATTATGATCAATGCAGTGATTGATCATGATGACTGAGGACCAACGAGGAAGAATGCTACCTACCTCCTGACAGGAAGGTGATGGACTGATATACAAAAGCAGACACATTTTTGGACATAGCTGATAGGGGAATGTTGCTTGACTGATTTGCTATTACTCTTCTTTTCCCAGTGGAGGGCAGAGGGGTAAGAGAGTTGGGAGAGAGATAAAATAAATTCTTAATAATTGAAAATAAAATTTAATTTAAAAATATATATAGCATAAAAAGCTAATAAATACAAATGTATACAAAATATTTAAACACGAGGTAGTTTGGGAAGGAGGACACTAGTTGGGGTGCAGGTGAGGGATCAGAAAAGACTTCACTCAGAAGATGGTCTGAGCTACAAGTCAAAGAGAGGGACTCCATGAGACAGAGGCAAGCAGGAAGTCCATTCAACGTGGGTATATGGTCATTCAAAGGCACAGAGCGCCATCAATGAGAAACCAGAAGACAGCTGGTTTGCCTGGACATCAGAGGGCAGGAGGGATCGTGGCCAATGAGGCAAGGAAGACAGTTGGAGGAAGGCTGTGAAGAGCTTTAACAACTAAACAGTTAATATTTTATCTCATGGCAATAGGAAGCCATTGGAGTAGGTTGAATAAGGTAGTCATATGTTCAGACACACAATTAAGGAAAATGAATTTGGCAGCAGGACACAGGATGAACAGGAGTAATGAGAGACTTGAGACAAGGAAACCACTGTAATGACCCTGTGAGGAGTGATGAGGGAATCCAGGTGCTAGATGTTTGAGTGGAGAGAAGGGGTAAGATTGGAGAGATGATATGACAGAAGAAAGGGCAAGATTTGGCAACTGTCTGGACATATGGGATGAGGAAGACGCAGGAATCCAGGACAATGGCAAGATTGGGAACCTGAAACACTGGAGGGATGATGGTGCCTCTGACAGAAACAGGCAAATTTGGAAGAGGAAAGGGTTTAGGAGGGGAAAAAAATGAGTTCTACTTGAGATGAACTGATAACGAGTTGAGTTTGAGATGTCGCCACGACATCTAGTTTGAAATGTCCGGTGGTAATTGGTGATTTTTAGGAAATATAGGGGCTAGATGTATAGATCTGGAAGTTACCTACATAGAGATGATAGTTAAATCCATGGGAACTGATGAGGTTACCAAGAGAAAGAATATAGAGGAAGAAGAGGGCCTAGGACAGAACTCTGGGGAACACCCGCAGTGGATAAGCCAGCAAAGAAGGTTAAGAAGGTTTGATCAGACAAGTGTCACAAAAGCTCGGAGAGGAGAAAGTACCCAGGAAGAGAAAGTATTCATTCAATAAACATTTATAAAGCTCCCATTATGTGCCAGGCTCTGTGCCAAGCACTGAGGATACAAAGATAAAAGACAGTCCTTGTTCTTAAAAAAGTCTTCCTTTAGGAAGCATTTTAGCTGGGACTGGAAGGACGCCAGGGAGCCCAGGAGGCAGAGGTGAGGAGGGAGAGCACAGCTAAGGATATTTGATCTTAGAGGCAATAGGGAGCCAATGGAGTTTGCTGAAGGTGGGAACGGGGAAAAGTGACACTATTTGTGCTTTAGGAAGTTCACTTTGACAGATGAGTGGAACTAAGCAGCTAAGTGGAACAGCTGATAGAGTGCTGGGCCTGGAGTCAGAAGAACTGAGTTCAAATCTAGCTAACCTTAGACATTTACTAGCTTTGTGACTTTGGGAAAGTCAGTTAACCTCCATTTGCCTCAGTTTTCTCACCTATAAAATGGGTATAATAATAACACCTACCTTTCAGGACCAAATGAGGTAATATTTGTAAAATGCTTGGCACGTTGAATGTCACATAGTAGGTACTCTATAAATATCAGTATTATTATTACTATTATTAGGATGGACCAAAGTGGAGGAGAGACCATCGGCAGGAAGGCCAACAATCAGAGCAGTACAATAGTTCAGGCTTGAGGTGATGAGGACCTCCATCAGGGTGGTAGCAGTGTCAAAGGACAGAAGGGAGATATGTTAAAAAGGTAAAACTAAGCAGCCTTGGCAAAAGATTGGATTAAGGGGAGGGTGGAGGGATAGTAAGGTTGATGAGAGAATGTGTGAAGAATAAAAGATGACACATAGGTTGCTGGTCTGGATGCGTAGGAAAATGGTGGTAACCTCAACAGTAACAGGGAAGTTAGGAAAAGGGAAGGGTTTGGGGGAAAAAGGTAACAAGTTCAGTTTTGGACGTGTTGAGTTTAAGATATCCATGGGACATCCAGTCTGAGATAGCTGATAGGCAGCTGAAGATGGTCCACAAATTAGTTAGGGCTGGATAAGTAGACTTGAGAATCATCAGCATAGAGATGATGATTGAATCCATGAATCCATGGGAGCTAAAATCACAAAATGCAAAAACATGGAGAAGAGGGCGCAGACAGCCTTGGGGGACATCCCTGGTGAGCATGACTTGGAAGGAGTAATCAGGTAGGAGAAACAAAAGAGAATAGTTTCACAAAAACCCAGAGAGAAGAGAGCATTAAAAAGAAGCAGTTAATCGACAATGCCAAAGGCTACAGAGATGTCAAGAAGAATTAGGATTCAGAAAAAGCCATTTGGCAATTAAGAGATTTTGGTGGAATGATGAGATCAGTAGCCAGACAGTAGAGAGTTAAGAAGACAGTAAAAGGAAAGGAAGTAGAGGTACTCATTACACATAGCATTCTCAAGGAGTTTAGCCACAAAAAGGATGAGAGATCTGGGACAATACCTAGCCAGGATGGATGGATCAAGTGAGTGTGGAAGAAGGTGGAGGAGACATGCTTATGTTTGTAGGCAGTCAGAAAGCAGCCAACAGACAAGGAAAGATTGAAGATTAAGTCAGAGTGAGAATGATAGAAGGAGCAATTTTCAGTAGAAGGATAGAACGGGATCACTTGTGAAAGGAGAGGGGCTTGCCTTGGCAAAAAGGACCATCTTTGTCTCACACAAGGAGATAGCAGAGGAAGGCATTTGGGCGATGTGAGATGAAGAGGAAAGGAAAAGAGGAAACTCTTAGGGAACGGCTTCAATTTTTTTTCCAGTGAAACATAAGTAAATATAAATAAAATATAAGTAAATGTAAATAAAAGTAAAAATAAAATAAAAGGCAACGTTTTCAGCTGAGAGGGGAGGGGGGAAGGGAAGTCATGAAAAGGTTTGGAAGAACCTCGATGGTGAGTGGGATAGTGAGTTAATTAGGGACGTGTAAAAGGATTGTTTTGCAGCAATTTAGGCCCAAATTTGTGGTGGATACAGTCCGTACTGGCTTCATGATTTTTCCCAGTACTTTATTCAGTACAGTCAAATGAAACAGGTCGGTAGAAAAGGATTAGGAAAGACCTCAAAAGATTATTAGCAACTTCAGAGACAGCTGTTCCCAGTTAAGGGATGAGGCTGAAAGCCAGACTGAAGAGGATTTAGAGGAGAGTGAAAGTGGCAGCAGAGTTCAGTTTCTACACGTTTGGTAGGAGCCCCAAGCAGGAATGTCTAGCACGCAGTGGAGATGACAATGGTCAATACTGGATGCGTAAATTCGAGCCTCACGGGTGCAGAGATATTGATGATATGGGAACAAATGAAGTAACAAAGGAAAAGGCCATATAAAGAGGGGGATGCGGGAGGACAGAGCCCAGGCGAACAGTGGCTTTTAGGGGGTGGTAGGGAAAAGCAGCAGCGAAGGAAGCGGGAAAATCACCAGAGAGCCAGGGCAGCTGTGTCAAGTGAGGGATGAGAATGGGGAATGAGGGAGTGGTCGGCGGTGTCGGGCAGAGAGCGAGGGGCAACAGAGACCACTGGATATGGAAAGCATTCTGAGGGCACGGAGGATCCTGGGGGCTGGACGCAGTGGGCTCGGATGAGTCCGAGGGCTCCGGGGATCCCAAGATCCAGGGTCTCGGCGGGGGGTGGCTCCTGGGACTTAGCATTTGGAGCTCGGGGTGCACAGACGGCCAAGGAGGAGCGCGGAAGCCCGCGAGGCTGGGGGTGGGGGGCGGCCCTCAGGGGCCTGGAAGGGATCCCGGCGATGAGACGGGGGCGCTCAAGGAAGAGCTGGGAACTGGGGCCTGGGGGAAGACTTGGGGGAGGGGAAGCCACGGAATCTCGGGAAGGGGAGGACAGGGTCGGGGCCAGGCGCGCCTCAGAGGCTTTGGGGCTGGCGGGGTCGCAGCTCTCACCGACTGTTCTCGGCCTCCTCCCCAGGCTCGGCGCGCCTCCACCCGCGCTCCCGGGACACCATCTCGGTTCAGCCTCCACCACTCTCCCTCCGCAGCTCTCCTCAGCGCCGTCCTGCCTTCCCGGGAGAAATTTCGCGCGTTCCGCCCAACTCTCGCGAGAGCGAGGCCCAGCTCCACCCTCCCCCGCCCCGCTGGAAGATCGTCCAATCCGGAGGCAGGACTCGCCACACCCCACGGAGCTCCAATGGCTGCGCTGCCCGCCCGCGAGAGGAGGGAAAGGCTTAGGGAACCGGGAAAAACTCCGGGCTTCGGGCGCCCAGCTGTCCGAAGCTCCCCCGAGCGCCGCGCCGCGCTGCGTCGGAGGGCTAGAAATGTAAGGTTGTCCCCTCCCTTTGCCCTAGAGCCGAGGTCGCGCCCTGGCTAGGTCGTGAGCTGGCTTTCAGCCGATGGCTCCGGTGGTGTCCACGCTGCGGGCCGGGTCTGGGGCCGGGTCCGGGTCCGGGGCCAGGTCGCTCCCCGAGCGGGTGCTGAGGCAGTATCTGCTGCTGCTGCGTCTCTACCCGGTGCTCACCAAGGCGGCCACCAGGTCCAGCCGGGGCGCAATCGGGAGGAAAGGATCGGGGAAAAGAGATCTGGGGAAAACCGGGGTGGGGGTGGGGGATCTGGGGAAAGAGATCTGGGAAGAGTTGGGGGGGGAGATCTGGAGAGAGCCATGAGGGTGGGGGTAAGGGGGTCAGGTGAACTAGATCTGGAAAGTGCTACTTAGGGAAGAAGATCAGAGGAAAGGGATCTGGAAAGAGCCACGGGGGGCGGGAGAGGGATTTTGGAAGAACCATTGGGGGAGAGGATCCAGGAAGCGCAATCAAGGCAAAGGGTTCTAGGGGAAAGAGTCAAAGGAGAGAGCTCTAAGAAAAGGGATCAGAGGAAGAAAAAAAATCCAGAGTGATCTAGGGGAAAGGATCAGAGAAGAATGATCTGGGGAAAAGATCAGGAGAGAGTGATCTGGCGAACAGATCAGGGGAGAGCGATCTAGGAAAAGAGATCAGAGGAGAGTGCTCTAGGGAAAGATCAGGAGAGGGTGATCTGAGGAAAAGACCAAAGTGGAGCGATCTAGGGAAGGAGATCAGAGAAATGATATGGAGAAAGGATCAGAGAACGATCTAGAAAGGGGATCAAAGGAGAGTGATCAGGGGAAAACTCAGAGGAGCACGATCTAGGGAAAGGGATTGGAGGAGAGGATGAGAGAAAGGATTGAAGAAGACCTATCTAAGGGGAATGAAGAGAGGTGAGAGATTTTGGAAGGAGAATCAGAGAAGAAATCTGGGGAGAGAGTTCAGAAGGGGACCAACGAAGGGCAGTGGCGGGGGAAGGATGAGGAGTGGATTAAGAGAGAACAAAACGGGGAAAAGTGGAGGTCTGAGGAGAGGGGAATCAAGGAAAGGGATGGGGGAAAGGATTCAGGAGACAGTGATGCAAAGTAAAGGGATGGGAGAGTCAATCAGGAAAGAAGCATCTGGGGGAAGAAATGGGGCGAGAGAACAGGGGTGAAAGCTCGGGGAAGGGGAACAGGGGTCAGTGCTGAGAGAAACGGCTGGGACAGAACATCAGGGCAAAGAGACTAGGGCGTCTTGGGAGAGGGACCGAGAGATTAGGGATGATGGAGGAGGGGACTGAGAGATGGGGGGTGAAGGAGGGGAACAGGGAAGAAGGATGGAGGAACGAGAATAGAGGGATGGAATGAAGGAAGTGCGTGGGAGCGCGGGAAAGGTAGTGGAGTGGGAGATTGGGTCGGAGGAGCTAGGGGAGAACGAGGGTGAGGAGGGGAAGCGGGTTAGCGAGGAAGGGGGACTGAAGCTGGAGAGCGGGGACGGGGGAGGAGATTGGGCACAGGGTGATGAGGGAGGAGAGCGAGCGAGGGGGCACTGGGCAGAGGAACTGGCAAAAGGGGAAGGGGAAAGGCAGTGCAGGAGCGGAGAAGAGGGAGGGGAGTCGGGGAGACAATTGGGGACTTGGTGTTGTATGAGGATATCTGGGAAGGAGAATTGGGCTGGGGGAGGAGAGATGGGGAGCGGGGAGGGGGGAAGAGATTGGGAGAGGGGGAATGGAGGAGGAGACCTGGGAAGGGGAATAGGGGAATGGGGATGGCCTGGGGAATCAGAAGAGAGGGAGAGGGAAGATTGGGTTGAGGGAGTTGAGGGGGAAAGCGGGGATGGGGGAGGGGACTGCGAGAGGGGTGAGGGAGGAGCAAACCATGGATACAAGATAGGGGAATTGGGATGGACCGGTGAAGAAGGAGAGAGTGATCGGAGGAGCTGAGACGGGAGGGTGGAGTGGGGTGGTCGGGCGACAGTGGAGGATGCTGCGGGGGCAGAGGAGGGGACTCTGGGGATGGGATCTCGGGAATGGTGCTGGAAAAGGGGATGGAGGAGCCGCGCTGGGGAGAGGGAGTGGGGCAGTGAGCATGGGAGAGGGGATGGAGCGAGAAGGGTGGAAATAGGTCTGAAGGTGCAAGTGGAACCTGAGGTGACAGAGGAGACTGGAAAAGAAGCGTCCGAGTTTTGGGGAAGGAGGGAGGGGCTGGAGGAGGGGGCTGGAGAGAAGAGAGGTAGAGGGGGAGACTGGGAAAGGAGGGATGGAAAAGGAGACAGAAGTATGGGGGAGGAAGGAGTGAGTGCAGGGGAAGGGAACGGGGGGGCGGGTTCCGAAGAATTGGGATGGAGGGGAGGATCAGGGGAGAGAGATCCGGAGGACGGGGATGGAGAAAGGGACCTTGGGAGCGGAGATGGAGGAGGGGACTGGGGGAACACGAATGGAGGAGGGGGTCGGGGAAACGGGGATGGAGGAGGGGACAGGGGAAAAGAGATCGGGGGAGGAAGGGTGGAAGAGAGAATCGGAAAGGGACCTAGGAAAAGCGGAATTGGAGAGGAGAGAGGGTCAGAGAATTCGGAAAAGGGATCAGGAGTGTAGGATCTGGGGGATGGCAATGGAGAAACGGGTGCCGTGATGAGAAAGAGGACCAGGTGCGGGGGGGAAAAGCGACAGGGGCGTGGGGCCTGGATCTGTGACCAAAGCAGGAGGGAGGGTACTAATCTGCACGGGTTTAGTGGGGACAGGGGGTAGGGGGTGGGGCCGAGGTTGGGGGAGGGGAGGGGGGACGAGGACGGGGTGGCGGTGGGGAGAGAGTGCTAAAGGATGAGGTTGGGAAACCTTTCTCTATAAGGTCCCAATTAAGCTGGGGCACGCGCCTCTGTTTCTCTGGTTACCGCCCAGTGACCGGGAAACCCCTTCTGTCATAGGCGGAAGCGTCAGAGCAAGGCTCCGCCTTGGGCCCCCGCCCCACAGTCGACCTCCCTAGAACGCTCCCCCGCGCCCGCCCCCCCCCTACTGCTCCCTGAGAGGCACTGGAGGGGCCAGGCCTGTGGACCGCGGCACACAGGGGATTTCTGGGTTGGTTTGGGGGTTGCTGTAAATAGAACGTGGTCCTCTAGACTTGCAGCTGCATATATCCTTGATTAAGGGCAGATTGAGGGCGCTGGAGCAGGAGCCAGAAAGCATTTTCCCCCCGCCTCGTGCCCTCTCTCTTTGGCTCCCTTTTGATTTTGGAGGTACGGGAAGCTGAGATACAGGGGACCAAGGCGAAGGCACAGCTGCGTGTCCCTGCTGGCTTCCCTTTGGCCCTCAATCCCCCGGCCCTCTTCACTCCCATGTTCCCACAGCTGTGCAGCAGGAGGCTAGGGTCTTTCTGTTTGGGTTTGCTGGGTTTTCAGGAAGAGGGTACTTTTCGTCTTCTCCCATAGACTATAGAGGCAGCCTTTTTGCAAAGCATGTCCGTGCTCTCTGTCTTCTCTCTGCAACCACCAGGCAAGGCTCTGATTTCCAAACCCAGCAAGCACCTTCCTGGTTTAAGTCCCAGTGCTCAGTTGGCATTCACTTCAATGCAGGAGCCAGACCAGTTCCTGTCTTATCACATCTTTCTCTAAGATGTATCTTGCATCTGTCATCTTTCTCCACTGACCCCTCAACCAGCCTAGTCCAGGCCCTCATCAGCTCCCTCCTAGACTGTTAGAATAGCCTCCCAGCCTTGGCTTTCCTGCCCCAATCTCTCCTCTATCCAGTCTGTCAGATGTACAGCTGTCCAAATGATATTTCTACAGAACACATCTGACTTGTGGGGCAGCCTGGCATAGTGGATAGACTGATGGTGTGGCTACAGAGTGAGGAAGACCAGCTTTTACACATAATGTACACTGGCTGTATGACCCTGGACAAATAAGTCATTTAACCTCTCAGGGGTCCAGGCAGCTCTCCAAAACCAAGCTGGGAAACAGGAACTGATCCACATTGCTAGAAGGGCTCTCCTGAGAGGTTTCCTACATCACTGAAATCACAGATCTGTTCATAAAGAGGGAGAAAGAAATACAATACTCCTTTTGCTCGAGAAGCTTCCATGGTTTTCTATCCCTCTATGATAAAATATAAGTTTTGGGGGGATGTAGAGACAGGGAAGAGGGAAACTCCACCTTTTCTCTTAGTGTTTTCATCCGTCACCTTCTGGCTTATATTTGGACCTGACTTACCTCTCAAACCCACCCAGTTATAGCGAAGAAAGGAAACGTCATTTCCCTAGGGTAGCTGGATTTGCAGTTGAATTTGAAACTTATACCCATCTTCCTTCCTGGTCCCTGGAGAACCTTTCCCATAAGAACTGACTTTGTGAATTTAATGAAATCCAATCAGATGGGGAATGGGGTGCAGAGGCGGGGCTAAGGGCTGAGAGTTAAAAGCTTTGGTTTTATCCTGTGCTAGAGAAAAGATATAGACACTCTTAGAAGCTTTCCAATTCTTAGAAACCTGACCTGTTGAATTGTCCTTTCCCTTGGTCAGACCTTGGTCTGGAGTACTGTGGTTGGCTCTGGGTGCCATATTTTAGAAAGGACATTGACTAGCTGGAGCCCATCGATCTAGGTGGTCAAGATGGGAAGGATACTCAAAATTATAAGAAGATGGGTTGAAGGAACAAGGGAGGTCTTTGCCTGAAGACCTCCAATGGGAAGCAACCCATTCCACTTTGGGATAGAATTGGGAAAATGTTTGGAAAATTTTTTCTTACCTCAAGCTTATATTTGCCACCCCACATCCCCCCCTCCACAATTTCTACCCATTGGTCTTCATTCTCCATTGGAGTCAGGCAGAACAAATCCATTCTTCTTTTATGTGATAGCCCTTCAGGTATCAAGTCTTTCCTCCTCCCCCACCCACCAAGATAAGCATCCTTCTAACTATGTGTCCTCTGCCTACAGTGGGATTCTGTCAGCTTTTGGGAACTTCCTGTCCCAGATTATTGAGAGAGTCCGGAAAAAGGGAAGATGGTTTCAAAATCTGGACCTCACAGGGCCTCTCAGATATGCTATTTTTGGGTGAGTAAGGGTCACCAAAGCATGATGTCTGATGTTAAGACCCTAAGACCCTTAAGGATCAGCATAGGTTGGGCTTATGGAAGGAAGAACATGGAACTGGTTCCAAGGTAGCCAATTAACTCTTAATGGTTCTTCTAGGTTCCAAACTTCCAGAAAAGAGGCCCAAAAGAAAATTGGGAAATGCCAGGGCTGTAGCATTTATCCTTACCCCTGTCTTCACATAAAACCTGTTTTTTTTTATTTGGGGACTCATATATTTGTTGTGTGAAGAAGAACCAAATCAGTAAATGTATGTCAATCTTGAAACCCCATAATAACCACAAGTTCATAGATTTAACACTAGAAGGGACCTCAGAGGTCAATTAATCCAATTCTTTCATTTTACAGACAAGAAAACAAAAGCAGAAGTTTAATGATTTGCCCAGGGTCACATAGCTAGTAAGTGAGGCAGAGATTTGAACTCAGCTCTTCTTGACTCCAAGCCCCTGTCCTCCCCCACCCTTCCCACCCCAATCCCCCAAGCTGCCTATTGGCTACTCACCTGTAATTCAGCTCTAGAAGTTCCTCAGGGGGATGAGAGGTAAAGTACTTTGACCAGGGTTATACAACCAGTATGTGTTAGAGGCAGGACTTCTGACTCCGTAGTCATGGAAATTTTTAAATTTGGAAAGAAACAAAAAGTGTAATTAATACAGAGAAAAGCCCAGGGAATATAACTTGAGAGGCTGTGGAGTAGACTTGTTGGACTAGGAGCCAGGAAATTCCATATTCAAAACTTGCCTCAGAGCCTTAATAGCTGTGTGCCCATGATCCAGATAATTCATCTTCTGAATCTCAGTTCCCTCATCTGTAAGATAGGAATAGTAACGTCGGCACTACCCACTCAATGGGATGTATGTTGTGAGGAAAGGGCTTTTCAAACCTTAAGGCCCTTTAGACATAAACCATAATTTGATAGAGCTACCATTTCTATGGAAAAGAATGGGAGCATCTGCTCTGCTCATCTGAAATCCTCCAGGGTCTGTGTAAAGACAGCCGCAAGAAGAGCAGCTACAAAAGTCCTGACTTCAAGTCCTGCCTAAGACACCTACTGGCTGTGTGAACTTGGGCTGGTCTCTTGACCTCTCAGTGTCTGTCCTGGGCAATTCTCCAAGACCATAAGTGGAAGAATCATTACCAGTCTTCATAGATTCAGGGAGTTTCTTTACCAGGGATTCCCTACAGTAGGGAAATCCCAAGTCTAGACCAAATAAGAGTAGTAGTAGTAGCAGCAGTGGTAGTAGAAGTAGTAGTGGTGGTGGTGATGGTAGTGGTGGTAGTAGTAGTAGTAGTAGTAGTAGTAGTAGTAGTAGTAGTAGTAGTGGTGGTGGTGGTTGTGATGATGGTAGTGGTGGTAGTGGTAGTAGCAGTAGCAGCAGTAGTAGTAGTATTAGTAGTAGTAGTAGTAGTAGTAGTAGTAGTGGTGGTGGTGGTGGTAATAGTAGTAGTGGCAGCAGCAGCAGCTTCAGCCTGGGAAACAGGTCAGAGAGTTGGACCGGAATTAGAAGAGGGCAGAGAGCCAAGTCAAAGGCAGAGAGCTGGCTGAGGAAGTGCATGTCAAAGAGCCTTTCTCAGGAGGGCTGCCTTCCCAGAAGCTGGTGGCTGTAGGCAGGAGAGGTATTGGGATCTGGAGGAGCAGCTCCCAGAAGCCTCCGGGTCAAGTAAGAGCATGGGTGGCCGAGGCCTGGCCTAGTCTTTCCTGATCCCAATGTGGAAGATAGGGCTCAACCTGAAGTGGCCTGTTCCTGGTTCCCTTGTTTGCTACAAAGCAGTACCCAAGCTTAGGACTAGCGACATTTGGATCAAAAACAAGTCTTTGGGGACCTAAGAAGTCTGCAGATGTGATTTTTAAAAACAATGCTCATTCTTGCAATCCATTTGTCCCTGTTTAGGGACATGCAGGCAAGATGACCTGCATCACTATTCCATTTTTTACTTTTACAGAGGAGGAAACTGAGGCACATGGAGGCTAAGTGACTTACCCCAGTAAATTACAGGGAATTAGTAAAAGAGTCAAGAGTCAAATACTTGTTCTCTGACTCATGAATCATGAATAACAGCTGACATTTATAGTGTTTAAGATCTACATACACATAGGTACGTGGGATCCTAGACCTGGAACTAGACGGGGTGTCAGAGGTCACCTAGTATACCTCTCCATCATTCTACAGGTGAGGAAACTGAGAGCCAGGGAGGTAAAAAAAGTAACAGTCAGGATTTGAATTTTACCATGACCCTGTGAGGTAGGTACTTTAGGCATTATTATTCTCATTTCACAAATGAGAAAGCAGAAATTGAGAGAGTTGAAGCAATTTGCTCATAGTTGTGCATCTAGTGAATGTCAGAAGCAAAATTTAAACTCAGGTTTTCCTAACTACAAGTCAAGCATTACAGGTACTTGAGGCAACTTCCAGAAGCTTTCAGCATTTAGGGCCTAAATAAGCAGCAACAGAGACACAACCCTAGCGAGCCTCAGTTCCAGTTACTCCAAATCAGGGTTTCTCATCCCTTTACATTCTTTTTTTTTTTTTTGGTGAGGCAATCAGAGTTAAGTGACTTGCCCAGAGTCACACAGCTAGTGAATGTTATATGTCTGAGGCCAGTGCCCTATGCACTGCACAACCTAGCTACACCCATCCCTTTACATTCTTAAAAATTATTGGGGACCCTTTCCAAGAAGCATTTATTATTTATTAACATTTTCTGTATTAGAAATAAAAATGTCCTGGTATTCTTATGAAAATAGTTCTGACCTCATGGACCCACTGAAAGGGTCTCAGGGACCTCTTCAATATTAATCTTATTGTGTGTATCCTAGACCCCTTTGGCAATCCTGGTGAGGCCTGTGGACCTCTTCTCTGAACAATGGTGTTAATTTCACAAGATAAAATACTTAGAATAATAAAGAAAACTAATTATATTCAAATACAGTTATCTAACTATTAATTTTTAAGGTTCACCAACCCCAGGTTAAGAACGCCCGCCCTAAAGTGCCTGGTTGGTGCAGAATTGTCTCACTGGGGCTGGGGTGTCCAGCTGTAGGAGGCGGAAGCAGGGGAGGACGTTGCTGCTGCCCAAAGTGGCTACCAAGTCCCTCACTGCTCAGTAGGCAGGAAGGATCTGTGTTGTCATGGTGCAGGCTGAGTCAGGTCAGCACCATGGACAGAAGTCACAGCTAGTGGTTGGGGGGGGCGGTCAGCTTCTTCTTCTCAGGGCCTCTCAGTCACTTCCTCTACTTGTACCTGGACCACTGGATCCCTGCTACTCTACCCTTTTCAGGAGTCAGGAGGCTCCTGTTGGACCGGCTCGTCTTTGCACCAGCCTTCCTGTTGCTGTTCTTCTTCTGCATGAACTTTCTTGAGGTTGGTCTCTGCCACGTGACTCATTTCCACTCACCAACTTCCAGAAGACCGTGTTGATTCAGTTCAGCCTAACATGCATGTATTAAGCACCAACTATAGCAAGGCACTTTGTTCGATGCAGTGGGTCAGAGATGCAGAAACAAAAACACAGGTCTGGCCATGTCAGTCCCCTACTCGCTAAACTACAATGACTCCATATTGCCTCAAGGATCAAATATGCAGTCTCTGTTTGCCATTTAAATGCTTCACAACCTGGTCCTAACCTGCTTTTACTCTACTCCCCTCCACAAACTCAATGGTCCAGGCATGTTGGCCTAATTGCTATTACTTACACAGGATGCTTCCTCTCCTGGCCCTGTGCCTTTATCCCCCAAGATTGGAATACATTCCCTCCTCAACTCTGCCTCTTGGAATCCCTGGCTCTGGGCAACTGTCTGAAAAGAGAAGGTTCAAAGTAAATGTCCCATCTGTAAAAACTTAAAAGAAGGTGCAAAGCTGCTTTTGTAGTAGGCCTTTCCTCGAATAAGAGTTGAATATATCATTGACATCACAGGTCCAGGCCAAATCCCTTCATAGGGACATTTTGTCTTCCCCATTAGAGGATAAACTCTAAATTCCTCAAGGGCAGAGACCTTTTCTTTGTTTTTCTTTGTATGGAGATACAAAGCCCTCAGTATAGTGCCTGACACACATTAGGTACGTAGTAAATGCTTGCTGATTGATTGATTCCTTCCCTCTACATTGAGCTGGGATGTAGGGGAGACATGCAGTGCTCATGGATGAGGACAATACAAAGCAAGGTGCCACAGGAGCTGGGGGGAGAGAACAGTCAGTGGGGGACTGTTTCATCAAAGAGGAAGAAACACTAACAAAAGCTTGAGCAAGAAAATAAAAACCTACATGTTAGATTAAGTCTTTGCTGCCCATAGAACCTAGTCCCATAGGCACTCTCCGTGTCTCCTATCCATGCTAACCTGAAATATACCCAGTCTGAGGTGCATTTCTGGATACATATCCTGCCACCTGGAGGTGTCCGCCATGCCTGGAAAGCATGTCCTCCTCACCTTCCCCTCTCGGAATCTTTAGCTTCCTTCAAGGCTCACTTTGGGAGCTACCTTCTCAGGAAAGGAGGCCTTTCCTGATTCCCCTAATTCAGAAAAATGGAAATTTAGGGCCTGAACGGGCCTCAGGGGCCATGAAGCCCAATTGCCTTATTTTGCAGAAGAAAGAATTGAGTTGTTGGTATTCCTCATTATCTTGCATTCATTTCTCTGTGATACTGTTGCATCTGCTCAGTAGAATATAAGCTCTTCGAGGGCAGTTTTGTTTTTGTCTTTGCATTCCCAGCACCCAGCTCAGCTCCTAGCACTTATAGTTGGCACTTGGTAAATGCTTTTTGAATGCTGACTGTCACACATTGTGGCCTTTGACTTCACCACTAGTGGCACTGGCCTCACAAGGCCACTTCTGTTCAGCCTAGTTTTGCTGGGAAACAGCACTCCAGTTGTTGTTACCAAAGCGAGCTATCCTCAGTGCTTAAATTCCCAAACTGGAGGATCAGGGAGAATGGAAGAACTTGGGTGGTCTGCACACTTCTTGTGCATTTGATCACCGATCCCAAGTAAGTCACCAATCCCAGAAGGGTCTGTCTACAAACCCAGGATGGCAAAGAATGTGGAAGACTTGAGGTGTCAGAGACCCAGGGCAGGCATGTTGATAAATTGTATCTGATGGTCAAACTTGAGCACTTTTCCTCATTTTTCTAGGGAAAAGACATGGCAGCCTTCTCTGCAAAAGTGAAAACAGGTTACTGGCCTGCTCTACAAATGAACTGGAAAGTATGGACCCCAATTCAGTTTATTAACATTAACTATATTCCTCTGCAGGTAAGAAACCATTCCAGAGTTGTATGGCTGTAGTTGAATTTCACTTTCACTCATTCTATCCAGAGCTATTTCTAACAAGATTATTATGACAAATCCCTGTCATCATCATCATCATCATCATGATTTTAACCTATCTGAAAATAATGAAATCAATAATATGTTTTTAGGGGATATCTTTACTTTCATTGTTCACCCTCAGATTCCACCTTTCCCTCTATCCTTCTAGCTTGGACTTCCACAATCAAAAGTACTTGGCTTCAGTTCATTGTGACAATTGATGCCTTCACAAAATCTCAGAGTTGGGAGAGAGTTCAAAGGCTATACACTCTTCCCCCTACTGAAAAGGAATCTCCTATGCCGTATCCCACAAAAGAGGTCATCCTGCTTCCCAAGGCAACCCATTCCATTTTTGGAAAGCTCTAAGCCTGAGTCTTGAAGGAAGCTAAAGATTCTGAGAGATGGAGGTGAGGTGGAAGACCTCTCAAGCAGTAGGGACAGAAGCAGCCTCTCTTCTACCCATTGCTCCTAGTTCTAATTCCCTCTGGGACCAAGCAAGGTTTTCTTCCACATGGTAGCCCTCCAATAATTAAAGAGTTGTCCTCTTCCGGCCCCTCCAAGTCTTTTCTCCAGGGTAAACCTCCCAAGCTCCTTTAATCAATACTCAGAAGATATGGCTCTCAATGTTCTTAATTATTTACATCCTAGGCCACCTCCTCTGGATACTATGCAGCTTGACAGCATTCTCTTTAAAATGTTCCCAGAACTGAACACTAGAGATATGCTGTGTAGCCTTCCGAGTTCTGAAGATTAGATCTTAAGACGGCTCAAAATAACTTTAGCCTTTTTGATTGCCGTGCAGCGCTATTCACTAAAGATTAGCTCATTGTTCACCAGCGCTGCCTTGTCCTGTACCTAGGAAGTTGATCATTCAAACCTGAGTGTAGATCTTTACAACCTTTTAAAATCTCAGTTTAGATTAGGTCTATCATTTTAACCTACTGAGATCTTTTTTGGACCCTGGCTCTATAATCCAACATGTTAGCTATGCCTCCTAGCTTCATTTCATCAGAAAATGTGATAAACATGCCTTTGAGTCAGTAAAAAGATATTTTTAGAAACACAGGGCCAAGAACAATCCCCAAAGGCACTTCACTAGAGACTTCCTTCCAAAACAATATTAAGCCATTATCACCCATTGGATCCAGCCATTCACCTGGTTCCAAATCCCTCCAACTCAACTTTGCTCCGTCTTGTTCACAGGGATAGCATGCTATACTTTGTCAAATGCTTTGCTGAAATCTATATTTACAGCATTCCTCTGATCTATAATAGGAAGAGTAACAGAAATGAACATAGTCTGGTATGACCACTTATTCTTGAGGAAGCCATATTGGATCTTAATAGTCACTACTTCACTTTCTGAATCTTCACCAACCATCTCTTTAATAATACATGTTAGCATTTTACCAAGAATTGAAAAAAACCCTCCAGCCTATAGTTTACAAATTCTATGCTTCTCTCTCCACCTTGTTTTTAAAAATCAGAATATTTACTCAAACACAATGAGCCAAATTGGCTAGAGTATAGTGGGTCACATTCTGTTTTGGCATGAAAGTAAGATGCGTTATGATGTGCTAATCAGAATGGGTCATCGGGTTGTGCTTAGCATGGGCTTTGAGTCATGATGTGGAGGGCTGAATGAGCTGCAGCATGGGGGTCAGATCAAGTTGTGCATTTGGGTTAGGTCACAGTCAGTGTAGACTGTGGTGTGGTTGTCAATATTGGATTATGACACGAAGGTCAGTATAGCACATAGCAATAATGATGATGATGAGAGCTACCATTTATATAGCACTTTAAGGGTTTACAAACTATTTTGACAAGTATTACCTCTTTTGATACTCAGAACAATCCTGGGAGATAAGTGCCCTTTTGGTCCCCATTTTATAGATGAGGAAATGGAGGCAAGCAAAGGCCAAGTGACTTGTCCAGAGTCACACAATAAATAAGTATCTGAGGCAAGATTTGAAGTAGGTCTTCCTGACTCCAGGTCCAGCACTCTGTGTGCTATGGCGCCCTCTAGCTACCGCATTCATTCAGTCAAGTTGACCTATAGATCTTTGGCTAGGAAGGGCTGTTAGCTATGGTAGTCAGTGTGAGCTCTGGTGCGGTTGCCAATATAGGGGGTAGCAAGATGGTCAGGACAGCACATAGCCATCATGATGACCTGTAGCTTTTGGGCCAACATCAGCTCTGATCTGGTCGGGTCATGGTAAGGGATTCAGCGTTGGCTGTGGCTTGGAAGTCTGTTTGGGTTCTGGTATGGTGATCTGTATAAGCTGTTGTCTGGTAATCAGAATGTGGTGTGTGCTGTGCTGGTTGTCATGGTAGCTTGGAAATTTATGGCATTAAGCAGCTTCTCAGAACAGCCACGTTTGCCCTGAACGAAGGGCTAGCCACGGCTGTTTCCCTGCTTAAAGGTGGATGTGATGAACAGCAAAGATGTCCTTATGTGAGAATGGTCTCCTACCCCCCTCACCCCCCTCAACTGACTCTGCCTCTTCCTTTGCCAGTTCCGGGTGCTGTTTGCCAACATGGTGGCTCTCTTCTGGTACACCTATTTGGCCTCTCTTGGGAAGTGAAGATGGCCCGGGGAGCACAGCAGGTTCACCACAGTCCCTCGGCCTGCAGGGCCTGGGGACAGGCTATGTATGGCTCATCCTGACAGGGTTTGCACTGAATCACCCTCCAAAGGCTTCATTAAAGTATCAATGACTATATGTGATTCCACATGATCCAGAAGTATGGGAATGACAATAAAAATTGGCTAACATGGAACCTTGTGTCCAAGATAGGCAACAGGTCTTTTAGAATGGGTGCTATCCTTTCACTGGAAATTTTAGCACTTAAAGAATCATCAGTGTTCAGAAGTAAATTTGGGATAAATCAAAATTAAAATAAGCTACAATGTCAAGTCTTCATTCATGGCGTTTTTATTTCTTGAACCAATCATTTTGGCCACTGCCAATGTGGCAGTGGCCTCGATGGACTATGTCCAAAAGTAAGTCCCTCCTTTCGCCCATTCGTTCATCACGAATTTATTAAAGGCCTGTTACAGGCCAGGCAACACACTTAGTCTAGGAAGATCAAGGCAAAAAGAAAGCAGTCCCTCCTTTCAAAGAGCTTATATCTTGCTGGAAGAAAACACCACATACTCAGATAAGTTGATGCAAAATATATAAAAAATAATTTTTAGGGAGAGGGTCAAGAAAGGCCTCCTCTAGGAGGTAGTGCTCATAGTGAGCTTTGGAGGAGGCTAAGGATTCTAAAGGGAAGCTAAGCGGCTCAGTGGATAGAGCACTGGGCCTGGAGTCAGGAAGACTCATCTTCCTAAATTCAAATCTGGCCTCAGACGCTTACTAGCTTGTGTGAAACTGGGCGAGTCACTTAACCCTGTTTGCCTCAGTTTTGTCGTTGTAAAATGAACTGGAGAAGGAAATGGGAGACCACTCCATTATTCTTGGGGATACAGGGTCACAAAGAGTGGAGGCTGACTGAAATGACTGAACAACAATTCCAATCTTGCTGCTCTCTCTCTCTCTCTCTCACATGCACGCGCGCGTGCACACACACACACACACACACAGAGTCTCTTTTGGTAGGAGAGCTCACACGGACAAAGTCTCGGGTCCTTGAAATATGTATCTGGTAGCAACCTGATGAAGTACAGAAATAAATCATACAAATTCTAAGAGTCAGAGATAAGGAGAAAGAGCATTCCCTATATTGGAGATGGCCTAGGCAAAGGTACAGGAAATGGAATGTGATACAAACTAGCTGGTATGAAGAGTGTGTGAATATGAAATCAATCTGGAAAGATTGTAAAGGGTTTGAAATGTATTCCTCTCTTTGTTTGTGGCTTTAAGCAAGTTTTATGGTTGCCAAATAATCATTTCTGTATACAGTACTTTCTCAGCCAGTCCCCAGATTTGAACCCTCTCTTGTAGCAAAGAAAGTGCGGTAAAACCAACAGATATAAGGACTATGTCTGAGAATGTATGCAGCATTCTGCACTCATAGTACCCCACCTTTCTGCTGAGATGAGGAAGAGATGATTCCTTTTCTGTTCTCAGGACCAAGATTGGCCATTACAGTCACTCAGAGCCTGATTGCTTTTTTGGTGTTTATTTGGTGTATTCCTTTTGTCTATGTATCCCCGGTGCCTAGCACAGTGTCTTAATGAATACTTGTTGAACTACAATGGTGGAAGAGCTGCCTTTAGGGACTTATATCCTTCATAGACCATCCAGGATCAGAGAACTGATGGGTGGAGGACACCATCAACCCAGGTTCTTCAGTCCTGTCCACACGGAGGAAGAAAGGACTTCCCTTCAAAAAGCCTCACCTGCGTGCTTTTCGAGGTTCACACTGGCCAAATCTCAGACTTGGAAGAAGCCTCATAGGGTATATAATATAGTTCTGCGCATACTTGATCCAGAATCCTCTCTACAATGTCCTTGATAATTGGTCATCTAGCCTTTGTTTTCAGACCCCAGTGAGGGGGGAGCCTACTGCCTCCAGGAGCATCCCATTACATCTTCAGACAACACTCATCATGAGGAAAGTTTTCTTTTCGTGGACCTGAATCTGCCTCTCTTACACCTTCTGCCCATTTTTCCTTGCTCTGCCCTGGGGGTCTCTAAAACATAGGCATTTTCCTGAAATTGTCACAGAGTGTAGGATTAAGTGAGGATAATAATACACATTTATGTAGTACTTTCCTCCACTGATACCTTTCATCATCATGAGGAGGTGACTCTAAGTCCTTGAAGACCATCCCAGCTCTGGAAGGTTCATTCAAGGTAGGAAAGTTTTGAATATCAACCTGGTGATGGACTATATGTCTGTTCTCTGAGGACCACCTTAGCTTAGTTCAGAGGAATTCGTCAGCACATTGGCTATAGAGGGATGATTTTTTTTTTTGACATAGGAACTCTTGAAAGATGACCTAGTAATAATAATAACTAGCATTTATATATGTTTGCAAAATTCAGTACTTGTGTTACCTCATTTGATCTTCATATTAAGGGGTAGAGGAAGCTTCAGTCTATAGCAATAGAGCAAGGACCTAAGCAAATGAAATCATATATCCTTGAGATAGTGAACTACACAACACTTTAAAAAAATAATTTATTTGTTTGTTTTTCGTTTTCAACATTCACTTCCACAAGATTTTGAGTTTTTAATTTTCTCCCCTTTCTTCTCCTCCCCCCTCCCCAAGATGGTGTGTAATCTGATATAGGCTCTACTTATATATTCATATTAAGCATATTTTCACATTAGTCATGATGTAAAGAAGAATTAGAACTAATGGGAGGAACCACGAGAAAGAAGAAACATGGGGGCAGCTAGGTGGCACAGTGAATAGAGCTCTGGCCTTGGAGTCAGGAGGACCCAAGTTCAAATCCAGCCTCAGACACTTAATACTTACTAGCTGTGTGACCCCGGGCAAGTCATTTAACCCAGATTGCCTCACCAAAAAGCAAAAAA